GAGCAGGTGAAGGCCCTGCTCCCCGTGGTGGTAGAGGGTACATGGAGGTGCAGCGAAGAGGAGGATCTGAGAGAGCGAGCAGGGATGGAGATGTGTAGGAGGTCAGATAGGGAAGGAGGGGAAAGATTGTGGATAGCTTTAAAAGTGAGAAGAAGAATTTTGAAGACGATGCACGATTTAACCGGGAGCCAGTGGAGCTGCTGCAGGACAGGAGTGATGTGGTTGTAGGAGGAGGTTTGAGTGATGACACGGGCAGCTGAGTTCTGGACCATCTGTAGCTTCTGAAGAGATTTGTTGGGGAGGCCACAAAGAAGGGAGTTGCAGTAGTCGATCCGGGAAGTCACAAGACTGAACAAAGATGGCAGTGGAGCGGGGTCAGAGACGGAGATGGTTAATATTTCGAAGATGGAGGCAGACTGAGTAACATCGTTGATGTGTGAAGTGAAGGAGAGAGTGGTGTCGAGGATGACACCGAGACTCTCGGCCTGAGGCGAGGGGGATAGCAGAGAGTTGTTAACGGGGACGAGAAGATTTTGAAATGAGTTTTTGGTACCAACGAGGATGATTTCAGTTTTGTTGCTGTTTAGTTGAAGGAAATTATTAGAAAACCAGTGACTGAGTTCACTGAGACAGTTTGTGAGGATGGAGGGTGGTTGAGTGGGTAAGTGATGAGTCGACCCCGTCTGTTTGTTTCCACTTCACTTCTGCATGTGGACTGAGAGAAAAACAGAAACGGCTCAGTCTGAATTACTGTGACTCCACTCTGTCGTTGGGTTGAAGATCTTCCTCCTCCTTCACTCCGTACCACTCCTCCTCGTTTGACATGTTCACCTGTGGTGTTCTCACTTGAAGACAGCAAGTCTGAGGAGGTGCAGGAGAAACATTTAGGATTCACCATCGAAACACAAATGATGAAAGGCTGACACAGATAAGGTGAACTGCGCTCAATGGGCTTTTTGTTCCTACCGTTTAGACGTTTCTTTGCGTTCCTGAAGTCGATAGCCTTCTGAAACTGATCGGAGCCACATAAACGATGCAGTGATGATTTCCACAACGAGCGAAGGCGAAAACAGTTCAAAAGGTCACATTTCCAGAAAGAGCTGATTTTAAAAGATGCAGCTTTCTGTAAGCTGCTGCAGAAATGGATCACTTCGGGTGTCTCTGGTGAACACGTGGCTTCTATCTGACAGCAGTGACACGTAATAATATACTCGTTTAATGATTTACTGTGGCTGCTACACTCTTTGTTTAGTACAATGAATTTTCATATTATTCTCAACATTTTGATGCCAATGAACTGTGTTATATAGTACAAACTAAGTATTGAACTAAATTCATAGTAACATCATTTAAGTTTAAAAACAATGTCTAAGTGATAAAAGTGGAATAAATATGAAAAATAAAAACTCTTGTCATTTAAAAATGTATCATTTTAAAAAACAGTTCATGTTTGGTCAAGAAAATCAAGTTTAAGCAAACTGAAACAGGCAGTCGTCAATTTTACTACGTTCCTTGAATGCTACACATAAGTTTATTTGAGGAGTGCTGCACATGGTGCCACATGGCAGGTTACAACCTACTCTTTGGGTTGTGCTAAGTGTCAATCTTGTTCAGTTTTGTATTGGATTAAGCATTTTATTTTGCCCCAATCAGATGGGAGTGGGCGGGATTAATGGTACGCTGCATGAAACGTGGGTCTGTGTGAAAACCGGACGAGTGCAGAGGGCACAGCGACACAGACGTGGGACAATAACAGGGTAAAGCTGTACATTACGATCATTAATGCAGAGTTGCCGACTGTAACGGACTTTGAGAAGCATATGAAAGTAGACCAGGAGCTAATCTTTGGACCTGCTGACGAGTTAGAAGTTTCCCATTCAGCCATCTGTGAGGTTGCTGCCAGGAATGATCTTGGTGTTCGTGTGACATCACCTGCCTACTTACCTTACTCAGTGCCATATTAAAGGCATCTCCACATCGACCCTTCCCGATTCAGTGTCAAACTCTGAAGGATTTGTGAGTATAAAGCTAAACCAGTGCACATGCTTTTTATTTTATTTGCTCAGTGAGAGAACAAGCTGTTTGTTTTTAGCTCCCGCACACCCAAGCATCGATTCAGGCCTGCAACGGGTTATTTTGGGATTGAATTTTATGTTTGAAAAGCCTTACCTGAAATATTAAGGGGTAATATGAACTGCAACTATTTGGGTTAAACGATAGAACTGAAAGTACTGTGAAAAGTTGTTTTATTTGTGTAACAAATTACTTATTCTATTTACATTTTTTTTTCTTTTTTTAAAGTGTCTTAAAATTAAATCAGGCATCAGTCTCTTATTTGAAAGTCACTTTAAGTGGTTTTTTTTTTTGTATTCCAAGGGAGTGTATTTAATATAAACATACATTTATCTGAATTTAATTCTTAGTGGGTCAAACAAGGTATAAATTCATAATTTCCTGCTAAGTGGAGGCACCACCATTAAATTAAATACCAACAGTAAGTTGTATCTCCTGTAAGCGGTTAGTACGGCTATCTTTAAAATAACTTTCCCAGGGCTCCAACCAAAGTAATACATTTCAATCTAACCTATTGGTTAACTCTTTAGCTACGTGGTACAGGCGCTACAACAACAACAAAATTGTTTTTTTGTGTCTTTTTTTTTGGCAGGTGGTTATTGTGGCTGATATTTTTATGTTTTTGTGTGAATCAGTTGGGGTTTTACTGTGAGGACAAAGCCTTGAAAAGGTGTTAGCTGCTGCTTAATACGGCTGGGAAATAACTTCATCAATCTGCGACTCGCTTCAGTCTTTTGTTCTGTGTTCTGTTCCGCTTTGAAGCTCTGATAAACTTGTCTTTTTCTCCCCATCATTCACTCTCCCTACCGTCATTTTATAAAGATCTGAGCAGTGTCATAAATCACATTTTAAACTGATCAGCTCATATATTGTTGTTCAGCCTAAAACAATCAACATTCAGCTGTTAGCGCTCCGTCTCCTTGGTGATTTTTGATACAAAGAAAACATCCAAACAAGCAGCTCGATCCGGACTTTGATTGCAGAACATCATGTCTTATAGACGCCTTCATCTTGTACTCTCTGGTAATGTTTCTATTGTTTTCATTGTTTGTTTTAAACTTTTGTACTGTGAAGCACTCTGTACATTTTGCTTGTTGGAAAGGTCTATAAATAAATGTTGATTGACTTATTGATTATAGGAGAAATAAGAAAAACCAATGGGATCTTACTTATGGATGGATGATACCGGTGGGTACTGATAGATGGATACCGATAGATGGATACCGATAAATAGACATCGATAGATAGACACTGATAGATGGATACAGATAGATAGACACCGATAGATGAATACCGATAGATGGATACTGATAGATGGATACCGATAGATGGATACCGATAGATACCGATAGATGGATACCGATAGATACTGTAGATACCGATAGATGGATACAATAGATAGACATCGATAGATACCAATAGATAGATACGATAGATAGCCAATGATAGATACCGATAGATGGATACGATAGATAGACAACAATAGATACCGATGGATGGATACCGATAGATGGATACCGATAGATACCGATAGATGGATACCGATAGATACCGATAGACGGATACCGATAGATACCGGTAGATACAGATAGATAGATACCGATAGATGGATACGATAGATACCGATAGATAGATACCGATAGATAGATACCGATAGATACCGGTAGATACCAATAGATGGATACCGGTCGATACCGATAGATAGATACCGGTAAATACCGATAGAAAGATACTGGTAGATACCGATAGATACTTTATTAATCCCAGGGAAATTTGAGGCATCCAGTAGCATATTCTAATTATACAGAAATAAAAACACATATGAAATAATAAAAAGGAAGCAGAATACACAAATTTGGAAAAAGACAATATGCACGTGTGGTAGGGAGTACTACATTTTATTGGGTAAAGATTATGAATGGATGATGTCCTATTCAGAGGGCTTATTAAGGTTTTATCAAGTCCTGCTTGTAGATTTGGTCTGAGGTACAGTGTCTTAATGACTTGTAGTCTGGCCTCCAACCTCCAATCTCAGTCTCTAGTGTGGTGCGATGGACTTTCGTTTGAATAAGAATACTATCTGCACCAGCAGTGTCCAATCCTGCTCCTCGAGGACCATTACCCCGCAAGATTTAGATGTTCTCTCTGCTTTGACACACCTGATTTGATCAAATGAGCAACTACTGGGCTTCTGGAGAACTTGAAGACTTGTTATAGAGCAGGAAAACAACTAAAACATGCAGGTTTGTGGCCCTGGAAGACCAGGATCAGGCACCACAGATCTACACAATCAAGTATGACTGCTAACACTATGCTAAATGCACTAAATGCACTAAATGCAAGAACTGTTTTAGTGATGTCACAGTGCGGGTTGTATAACCCTGTATACAAGTATCAATTAAAGATCTTTGTTTAAAGCTTGTGGGGGAAATGTATTCATTCAGGGAATGCTTGATTTTTAGTATCATGAGTTTCTGAGCCCGTGCTGTAAAGCTGTTACTCAGTTTACCCTTCAGCTGAGAAAATAAAAGCTCCTGGATGTCAAGAAAGGAAAAAAGAAGTTGCAGTTTGAGGATAAAGTACTCAGGATGAAGAGAGAAGGATTAAGACTCGCTGGATGTATTCATCAAAGTGGCGCTCTAAGCCTGAAAAGCTTCAGGGCAGCTCTAAGTAATACAGCAGAAAAGAAAAGGTGTACTGAGCTGAAAGAGGGGGTAAGTAACAGAATAACCCTGGTCGCAGTGATGGATTACCTACCAAATCTCAGGAGCTCAGGTTAATTCCAGCGAAACAACAGTGGAGTTTAGGAGAACCAGATGATGGATTCTGAGCCCGATCCCTTCTACCAATGAACAAGTTCACTTCTACTCCTTCAACTGTGTGGTATGCTAAACCCCTGATTGTTCTTCTTTTCTGTGTCTTCCCAGAGAGTACGACCACTTCACCTTCTGCACTGAGAACAGGTCCCACATCGTCAACTGCTACTGGCCCAACCCGCTGGTAGAGGGCTACATCATCCGCATACACAAGTACTTTTTCTCCAACTGCACCATAGAGCAAGTGGTGTGGCTCGACCCGCCGGACGACACGCTCACCGCGCTCATTCTCGTTCCAGTTTTCCTCACATTGGCCATGATCGCTCTGGTGGTCTGGTGCAGCAAGAGGAGCGATCTCCTGGCCTAGGAGAAAGACTGACCTAAAGGACCGGTTCGCCTCTTCAAAGTCCAGAGCACTTTTTGGGTTTAAATGACCCCAAATGACACAATGAAGCCCCTGCACCTGTTTAGATAAAGAAGGATGTTGGCTTGCACATGTTTTCTTTAGTAATTACTTATTTCTGTTCTTCACTCAACACCGTATTCCAAATCTTCTTAACGAGTATTTCACTGGAGAGCCCCACATTTGGTGCAGTCACTTCTGCAGAGAGTTACAAGAAAAGATGACACACGTCTTACGTCTGTACGCAGCTAAAGAGAGAGTTCGAACCTTTTGAAGTTGGGTTCTGTGGAACGGACATGAACAATTAATATGATAGCTCTTTGAACAACCTCAACTTGGAGAAATGGCTAACGGCTGATCTTAACTCCAATCTTCAAAAGTTCACCACAGTTCATGCAAACGCTATTTTATAACCCTTTTCAGAGCCTTCAGTTTCACACGGCATGAGCATTCTAGTAAAAATATTGCGATTGTCTTCCTGGACAACTTTCCAACTGGTGCACGTTTATCAAAGATTTCTTAGTTTATAAGCGTTAAATAGCATTTATAAAACACTGTTCGCCCATTGAAACAGGTTAAGTATTGGACAGAATCAAATTCTGTATTCATTCGGAATGCCAAAACAAACCAGTCAGGTAACTCACTGAAAATGGTTTGGTCTTAAAAATCAAACGCGAATGGAGCATACAGAGAAATTGACAAAAAAACGACTCACTGTTCTAGTTTATAATCTAATACTTTGCAGCTGCTTCCTAAATGGCTACAGCTGAATCAACAACTGCATTATTACCTACTAATCAGTTAGTTTTAAGGGTACTCTTATCATAAAGAGGTATCCACTGGAAGTAGTATGTTTGAATTACTATGAATTTAATAAGATTAGAGTTGTTTTACCCTCCTGCTGCCCTTGGGTCAAAATGACCTATGGGTCGTCAGTATAAAATTGAGACTTCATGAGTCATTTTGACTCAAGGGCAGCAGGAGTGTTTATAGAGCCACACTCCACTTTGGTCCTGGCCTCGCTCTGGCTAGCCGGTAGCTGTTTTTCCAAGATGAGGTTGATCAAAGAGCCGTCTACAACAGTTCAGGTATTATTGTTCGGGTTTCTTAAAAATATTTGAACTAATGCTTTAATTTTGCTCTGCAGAACTGGAGCTTTAATGGAAAGTATTCACTGTGTGTTCAGTGTGTACTCCATTATTTATCGTCTGACTGCTGGGGTAGAAAAATAAAATCTGCAAACCCTTTATTTGATAAGGGTTAGAAGATTATGTTTTTTGGGGTAGTAGATCATAAGATCTCTGCTTGGAACAAAGAAACAAGCTCAGTTGTATTTACCTTCTAGTCGAGCCAACAGAATTTATGCTAAGCTAACCAGATGCCTTTAGCATAGCATCGATGGCTCGTCTAACTCGACATAAACGACATTTTCTAAAACGGTGGCACTTCTCATTGGAGGTGTCAAGGATCACTGCCATCCCTTCCAGGGGTTGTTCGCCCCATCTGGACAGTTCCGTGTTGCATTCCTTGAAAACTTACGAATCGGGACTTGACCTCTGAGATTCTTGTCGGGGCACTGTATCTCCGCTAAAAGGACAACGCATCCACAAAGTCTGCGACTGACCGGCCTCATAACTGATGGGAAACAAGCGCCACAGGCAAACGGTTAAATGTTTTATCGTTGTGCTGGACAATCTCCTGGAAAGAAGCCAGATTTGAACTTAGCACCGTTTCAGGGAACGCAATGTTTAGTTTTACTGGAAGGACATTCACCGCTGGAAGGAATGCATCTTCCGAAGTCAAAGCAACACTAAGATTTATATATTTTTGGGGACGTGAACGTCCGGTGTGAATACCCGAGCCCCAGAAATTTGTTTTGTATGATATTGTTAAACTACACTCACAAAGGGGTTCTCAGTTAAAGACAGAACTATTAAATTATGACACTGGGACCTCTCATTGTAAAGTCATGCTCTGTCTGTGCTGTCTACTGTATCTGTCCTACACCGCAATACTCGTGTTCATTTAGAGGGTTTAACTAGACAAGGCGTGCACAGCTTTCAAAGCTTTGTTTTATTTATGTAAACTAGACTTTTTATGTAACCAAGAGCAGAAGTTGAATTTCTGGGGCCAGAACAGATCCTAAAAAGTACACGTTGATGTGTCTAAATACAAAAAGTAAGCCTGAGCGTTGAGTTTCTGAATATATGTACACGCTTTCAGGCACAGAGAGGCTTCAGAAAGAGTTTGGTTCTGTTACGATAGTTTATTAATCTTCACTCAGTACCCCATATTGAAGTATTTCACATACGTATTCTGACCCTAGTAGTGTTGTGTACTTTGGCAGTAGCTCCAGTCTCGAGTGTTTTTATTCAACAAAATTTTCCCAGTTTTTACTAATTGGTACCCTTTGACCCTAAACCTTTGACCCTAAACCTAAGCCAGACTCCTGACCCTAACCCTTACCCAGGACCCCTTTCCCAAAACCTAACCCTCTGACCTTTGACTTTATACCAAACCCAACCCTGACCCCAACTCAACCCTTTGACCCTAAACTTAACCCCGACTGCCAAGCCTAACCCGACCTCAGACCCTAAACCTAACCCTCTGACCTTTGACCCTAAATTTAACTACCAACACTGATCATAAAACTCCTGACTTTGACCCTGAACACTGAACCCTGTCATAAACACTGGGCCCATTGCTTTACATAATACTGTACCTCCTTGAAGTACTTGGTGGAGTGAGGTCATAGCTGGAGGCCTGGGTGGGGTGATCGGGAACGTGCATGTGGGTCCGGTGCAGCAATGGTGGTGCACAAATTCTGACGCCGATAACTTCTGATGTGACGGCGCTATATGAATAAACTGAATTGAATTTTCTTTGGAAACTCTAAACTCACTCCGCTTGGATTGGGACCAATGGTGGATCCATTTTTTATACGTTCCAAAGCTTTTAAATGTATAAAATGTCGTGAGTCATTCCTCCGCCCGCCCATTAGCAGTTTTCCTGTCAGCTCAACTCCCACTTGTAAAGGAATTTGATGAAACTTTGTTCGAAGTAGTATTATGTCCCTTTGGACATACGTTGCTCTGCCTTGTGGCTTCTCCACTCTGGGAATTTTACTCCGTTGTGTCTGACCCTGGCTCACACTGCGAGCTCGAGATTTCAAAATCTTGCTAGCAACCCGTGTACGACGCAATTACATTTACATTCATATCATATTTGGAAACTAAATCAAGACATAAAAAGAGCCAGCTATGGACTCGGTCAAAAATATATTCCATTTGAGATGGTAGGCACCGCGGCATGGCAGGTTGCTCTTGTAAATGAGTCCTCGAGGCTCAGTGAGACTGACCTGTATAAATAAAGGTTGAATGAATGGTGGTGCAGTGGTTAGAGTGAGAAGGTCGCAGGATCGCCTCCTGGCCTGGTGCCAGTCTGATTGGAGTTTACATGTTCTCTCCGTGAATACATAACGGCTATGGTAGCTCGTGGTCAGTGCTGCGATCTTGTAATCCAGAGGTTGCAGGTTCGATCCCAGGTTGCGTCAGGAAGGGTATCTGGTGTAAAACAAATTGCCAGATCTTTCATGCAAGATGGCTCGCTGTGGAGAGCCCTGAGAGCAGATGGATGTTTCTGTGCATGTGTGGGGTTTCTACAGTTACTCCGGCTCTTCCTATAAACCAGAAACATGCATGTTAGGTTCATTGGCTAGTCCACATTGTCCCTGGGCGTGGGTGATAGTATGACTGGCTGTCTTCTTTGTCTTTTTGTCCCTGTGATGTCCAGGGTGCACCCCGTGTCTGGACAGCTAAACACCCATTGACTACTGGAGAAAGGCACCAGGAAAGAGAAAGTGTGTAAATAAAATGGATGGATGCCACTGCCTCCCTGACGTCTATGCAACAATCCTGTCTCTGAGCTTCAACAGGCCCAGCTGTTGAAACCCCCCCCCATGATGCTGCCACCACCATGCTTCACTGTTGAGATGGTGCTGGCAGGTCCTTTGACGTCAGTGTTTGGTTTTTGCTCTGGTTGTCGAATAGTAGGTCGCCTAAAGACGTCTGTAGAAACATCTCAGCAACGACTGAGAGAAACGAGACACCTGAGCTAAACTTCTTGTGTCGCAAAGGGTCTAAGTATGTAAATGTGGTATTTTATTTTGTCTTATGGGGTGCTGATTTTAGATTAATGGGAGATGAAAAATGGAATTTGTGAATGTCGGCATGGAAACGTTTATCATCGGGATCTGAAGCAAACGTGTCTCCAGTAGAACGAAATCGAGTTTCTCTTCCAACGTTTGGCAGGTCATTCATCACGTCTGTACAGAGCAGCCTAATTTCTACGATGTACGTCTTAAATAAACTTAATTTAATAACGTCTAATAACAGTCTGTCACCGTCTGCTTACTGTGAGCTTTTCGTCATTTCAAATATAACGTGTAAAAATGTACAGATCTAAAAAAACAGCTTCGCATGACAGTTCAGACTGCAGGATGGTGTGTTCAGGGTACAGGCGTGTATTAAAACCTTTGTAGAAAAAAAAAATGTTTTCAAAGGATTTCTCTGCTTTTGAAATAAAAAAAAAAAAAACTTTTTTAAAATAAATAAAATGACACATTGTTGCCGTTTGTTTTTCATTTAGAGTTCATTTCCTGGAACAAATCAAGATTTATTTATTATTTTATGTCTTGATGGATTATTCTAACTCCTGTTTAATGATTAAACCAATCAACTCCAGTGTTTTTAAACAGTTATAAATTGAGAATATTGTAAATAAAATATATCTCAATCAAACTTTAGTTCAATATCAGTACAAATGGCTTAGTTATTTTTGTGTTTGCAGAAGTCATTTAGCTGTAGCGTCCATTTTTAATTGGTTTGACTCAAAGTTAAACAGATGTAGATGTTTAAATGATTTTTACAGATATTTTTCTAACAGAGAGGCAAACATCTTTTGCCTTTTTGTAGTTTGTAATAAACTAAATACACACTTTGAAAATGTATATTGTTGTATCGCTGAGGGATTTGAACAGTGAATGATTGTAGTTTTCAACATGAGTGTTTTTGGAACTGAACAGAGAATGTAAATAAACATATGTAAGTTTTTTGTTGTTGTTGCAAGATATTCAAGTGGGTAGAAGTTGCACTGTGTATAAGAACATTGATATATATATATATATATATTTGTCCCAGACGACGCAGAATGATTGTTCCTGGTGTGAGGAGGTAACAAATTTATCCACAACCAGGTGCAATGGTGGAGCCAGGGGGTGGCCAATGGTGGCCTTGGCAAACAGATTAATCTTCGGCCACCCCACAGGCCTCTCCAAGCATTTGAGAAAACTACTTTTAAGCAATATAAACACTAGAAAGCATATCCAAAAATGTTCAGTCAGGTCATCTGGACGGTTTCTTTTTTTTGCTGAGACGTTTCGTCCGTCAGCCGAAGGACGTCTTCAATCTGAGGAGCCACCAAACAAAACCGAGCATAGTGGGAAAAAAGTTTGCTGGTGCTAAGATGTTCTCCGGGGCCCGTCCTCTCCCAGTCAGCTCCTCTGAGAGTCATGCCAA